CTCTTATGAACCTTCACAATTAAAGGTTATAAACCGGAAATATGAATACCCAATATTAAAGTTAACCGGATATAAAAATTCTCGGACTTTATCAATAAAAAATAAAGGTTCAGAAAGGATATCTTTTATTGTGAAACCTCAGACCTAATAGAGGTTCCGGGATAATTGCAAAGGATAGAAAAAAAACAAAAAATACATTAGTCTCCGCTGCATCTTTTGAAGATGAAGGTTGCTCAACATCGGGTTCAGCATCTTCGCCCTTATCTTCAATATCATCTTCAACTTCTTCCTCAGTTTTCGAGGATCTAGAGCAAGTGCTTGAGCAGCTTGAAGCACTGGGCCGGGCAGGAATATTCTCAAAGGCAGTTGTCTCTAAGACAAGGGATTTAGCGATGCAGTTATCAATATTTGACATGCCTTCTTTGGCATCCTCCAAAGTTTTCCTCCTCATGTGATAAACTACATGAGTTTTCTCAAGCAGGAAAGAATCTTCTTAATCTCAGAGTTTGGCTTGGAGTCTTTGGAATTCAACTGCAACCGCTTGTTATCAACCTTCAAGATGCCATGGGCCCCAAAAGAGTTGGTATTGGTCTTAGCATATTCATGATTTTGTTTCATGACCTTCCGGAGTCCCTCCTCCATTCTTGCCCTCTTTTCATCAACCATAGTAGCTTTCTCGGTTTTAAAACGTAAGTTAGCTTCCAAGGTTTTGATTCTTTCTATGGAAGCAGACTCACGTTCAGCCGCCAAATTTATGGCATCCTGCAGCTCTTCCCACTTGATCTTCAATTCAGCAAGCTCAGCATGCAACTGAGTGGCCTCTTGGCTATGGGCCATACTTTCTTGCTCAGTTTGCTCTAATCGGGCTTCGAGTTCGCCTATGTGAGCAAGTCTAGCCTCTAGTACTGATAGACATTCAACAAGTTGATCCCACTCGGCCTTAAGTGCATCTTTATCAATGGTCATCTTTTGTAAGCCCTCAGAAGTAAGGAGGTTAGCATATAAAGTAAAATTTTAATGTTATCAAAGATGGTGGTTAACAAGTATAAAGGGAGGAAAGAAGGATGAAATGATACCTGAGCAGCTAGATGCATCTTGTTATTGATTAAACATTCAACAGAAAGACCGTCCATTTTTCACCAATCTTTATTTGAAGCCAGAAGCTTCAAGTAGTTGGCTACCCCAACCGATTTGGAGAGAAAGTGGCATTCATCCGAAACTAAAAAAATAATATTATGTATACCGTTAGGGTTCCGGATACATGCCTGGAAAGCATTTTCTATGTTCCCTTGATTAGGTAATCGGGGGGAATACTCGTCTTGCTCTTGTTCAATTGGGACCGGTAGTGAAGCAAGGTCTGATATTGGAGCAGAAGTTGGAGGAGGATCAAAAGTAGAGACCTTCTGACCTGAAGCGATAACCGAAGCCCGAAAATAGGATTCAACATTCTCAACCAATTCGAAATCTTGAAAGAGTCCTTCTACGTACCCTGGTTGAGCCGTGGGAGTTCTTTTTCTTTCTCTTTTTCTTTTTCTTCTTCTTGTTCTTTCTTCTTCTCTGAAGAGAAACCATTTCATTATCGTCCTCGGTCTCATCTTTGTCAAGAACCATTGTGGCTGGTTCTTCCGGATTCTCTTCCGAAATTGGTGGCTTCTCCTTCGCCTCGATTTTAGAGGTATGCTTTCTTTTTTGTTTTTCCCCTTGGGTTGGGGACTCGGGGAAGATGCGCCTTCACCGGAAGTAAGAGCGGCATCACGAGTACTCTTCCGGTCAAGGGCTTCTTGAATTCGTTGTTGTGCCACCTTCGGATCATGTGAAACCTTGATAGTGGCACAAACAGAAGATCCCTTTGGAAGGCCTGACATGTTACGAAGTCAATCATTAACTATTTTACGGAGATAAAAGTTAAGAAAGAAGAGGGGAAGTTGTTTTTTCCTCACCATGGTTCTTCCCCTTCGAGTTCTTCCCAATTGAGATTTTCTTTCACATACGGGAATCCGGTGTGGAAGTATCCAAAAGTTTTTACACCATTTGAGTCAGGTTCTCAACTACGGGAAGAACCCAGCGGGTGGCTGAAATAGAAGAAAGAAAATTTTAATTTAAACAGAAAATACTTTCAAGATAGTAAAAGAGGGATATTTAAGAAATACGAGTATAGTTCCAAACTTCGGGGATGGGAGATGTTGATGCCGGTAAAATATTCCCGGGAGCGACAACAACAAACCTCTCCATCGAACCACGGTCGTTGTCGTCATCAATACTGGTAACGATGGCATGATGACCGCATTTACTGAGTTTGATCACGCCTCTATGGAAAATTTTAGGGGCGTAGAGGTTAATCATATGTGCAAGAATAAGGTTTTCTTGAGCCCAGGAACATAGGTATCAGAGGTAAGCCACCATACGCCATGTTGCTGATCCCACTTGAGCCAAACAAACTTGGTAATTCCGGCAGAATTCCAAATAATAGGGTTTATTTCCTTGTCAAGTCATAAAGTAAGAGGGTATATGTCAACATAACATACCCTGGTCTGCTAAATGTAATCCTCTCCACTTCATAAGGTGCTAAACCTCAATATTCTTCCATTCACAATGCTCTTTTACAACATGAATACTGGCCGGACGAATAAAAGATGGATACTCACCAACAACTCTATTTCTGTCGTTATCAGGATCAGAAGATTCCTTTTGAAGATGAAGATCTTTTTCAAAAGACCTCTGAAAGGGAATGATAGTGTTTGTATAGGGAGGTCCGACATCAAATTTCTTAGGCTTATTCTTCTTGGATGGGCCGCCACCGATGCAGTCCCTATTTAATCGGAGGAAGCACGACCATGGTGATGAAAAGTACAAATTTTGCAAATTCTATTGAAAACAAAGGAGTTGTAGGAAAGCTTTAGGAAGACTGCAGAAGAAAGTTTGTAAAGTAAAAGTAGTGAAAAGGGGAGAATTTTATATGTGGTACAATGCAAGGCCATCATTACCTATGTAACTAGCAAAAATACTTGTCGAATCACTGGCTAAAACATGTTCGGCTCATTAAATACAAAGAGGCGTGCGTCCTTTCATGGGTCAGAAACCGTTCAAGAACTTTCTCGCCAAGAAAAGAGAAGGTCTTATCTACTTCCTGGTCACATCAAGTTGAGTCACCGAAAAGTAGGGGGACTATATGTATTGGGTAAAATTAACAGATGACAGGTGGATGTTCGTCGAGTTGACATGTGGCAATAAAGACGTGTAGGAGATAGGTCAGCAAATAACTAATAACGGATACTAACATGTGACCGGTGTTGTATAAGTTCCGAAGGCATGAAAGCCGGAGAGAAAAATTTGAAAGCAAGGTACCGGTTGAAGAAGACAACATTAAAAGAGCAGCCGTTACAGAGAATCATAGCATTTACTCTCAATCGTTATGCAGCTATCAAGAGGGGGTTTTATCCACCTTAAAGAAGAGCATGATTTAGGAATCTTGTCTCCCCTAGTTTAGCTATAAATAGAGAAATTTGTACTTATTGAAGGACACGAAACACTTGTATGAAAAATGTTAATACTACTCACTTATTCTGCAAAATTTTATTCTGCTAATATTTCATTCTCAGTATTATTTTTGTTTACGGAGAAGTTCAATTCAAGGCCAGACTTGTCTTTTCCTCAATTATTCTTATTTTACTCGCTTTTGCTCTTTGTTATTTTATTTTTGCAGATTAATTTAATTCACATGTCTATAAACCACACTACAAATTCAATTGTACCATTTTACGGGTAAACACAAAAACACTTCTCAAAACATTGTTTAACCAAAAATTGTATTTATAATATTGGCATAAACATGTTCAAATAATTTGACCAAAACACAAATTACTATCCTCGTGAGCATTCCAAATACTCCAATCAAAGCACTTTGAAGTTTGGACAACGTACACGCCGACAATAGCTTACATGCAAAGAGCGTTTGTACCTAGGGTGTTCACGGTTCGGTTTGGTTAGTTTTTTATTAAAATCAAAACCAAACCAATTTAATCGGTTTTTAAAATTTTAAAACCAAAACCAAACCAAATTAAATACAAACTATTGGTTTGGTTCGGGTTTTCGGTTCTTAATAAACTAATGATAAGTCGATAATAGTAAACGACACTATACAACAATATTTTAAGTACTACTAGAGCATAAATTTAAATACCTACGGTGATAGTTCTTTTAACTATTTACATTTGAAATTGTAGCATATAATATAAAGCAGAGTATTAAAATTATAGCAATAATATAAGATAGAAAACTGTACCGGATGAACTAAGTTGCAGTACATAATAGAATCAAAAGAACAAGCCAAAATAAAGTTTCCTAAGTATAAATATCACTTTGTTGAATCAATGATAAAGCATTCATTATAACAAATTAGAATACTACGCTCATAAAATTCTTCTCAAACTTTAGCCCGTAGTCTTGCAATTTGAGTAGCTTTTTTTTGATTTTGTGATAGATTTTTTTGTAACTCTAAGTAGATACGTAGGGGTAGAGAATTTGAGTCTCTTAAGGAAAACAAATTGGCCAATTCCTATTACTTTGGGCTTAGGCAATCTTTTAAGATATAAGTAGTATAAACCAAAATCTATATATAATAATTAAAATGCAGAAAATATTTAAAATTATTTACAAAAAGATATGATACTTTATATAAATAGTTATTAAATTATATATATAATTTATCGGTTTGGTTCGATTTATTTTTAATTTTTTATAATAGAACCAAAACCAAATCAAATATTATCAGTTTTTAAAATTTAAAATTAAAATCAATCCAAATCAAAAAAAATATCGATTTACTTAATCGGTTTGATTTGGTTCGATTTTCGATTTGAATTGATTTTTTTGTCAAACCATGAACAGCCCTATTTGTACCTTTTCTCTCTGTAAATTTCCGTTTTCATGACCCTTATCATCGTCTGCTTATTATATTTTCAAGATATTTATACTCTTTAAAAAAAAAGATTTTTCATTTTTTTCTGTCTCCGTATATAGAGCGGTTGGGTATCAACTGCAACTTTTTCTTTATATCTTCAACCTTCTTTCACTGGACGCCTCTCATAATTTTCAGACAAAAGTTTGTATTTTTTTTCATTAATTATTGAATTGAAGCAAAATCAACAATCAATCTCGTAAGGACAAATGCTGGACCTATTCCAATTTCATCTTGGATTGTAATTTCGTGCGCCCTTTAATTTCCCAATTACTTATATTTTGGGGATTTTGTTTTTCCATGCCTTAATTTGATCTTTGTGATCCTATATGGTATACCCTTGTGGTTATATGCANTATACTCTTGTGGTTATTAGCGGATCTACATGTATCTGCTTCTTTGTAATGATCGCTATACCTATAAAGTCACAATCTTTTTGATCTAATGGTATTTTGACTTTTCAGGACTATGATATTGTTGAATTGTAATACTTGGGTGTCTCTTTGTTAATTTATTCATCTGCAATTAACAATAATATCATCTGGTTGGAGTTGGATTTCCTTTTAGACTGTGTTTCTATTGGGCTTTTGGTTAAAAATTTACAATATTATGTTCTATTTGCAAAATTAATGGATCAACGTGGAATATGTTATCTTGATTTGCTAATATTGCTACAAAATTTGATCTTTGGCGGCCAGGGGGGGGGGGGGGGGGGGGGGTTATTAACATGGTATATTTTATTTGTCATTTTTGGGGTTTTAGATGGTGGGTTTTGTTTCAAATTTGACTAAATTACCTCCCTTATTCCTAATTTGCACTTCTCAATCATCTTTTAATTTGAATCCTGCTAGACATTTTCTTCTGGCTTTGTATTGTACAAGAACATCGTGCACATTACCATCATCTTTTTCATACTTAACTGCAGGTTTTAGGACTCATCGCTGACTGTGGCTAAGATATAGACTAGTACTGCATTGTATTCAACACTTATTGCTTCCAGATGTCTAGGACTGTACAACGTTGAAAATAAATACGGCTCGTGAAGTTTTGCCATTAATTGCATTCTAGAGTGGCATAAGGATTGTATAGTAATTCGTTCAGTAATACTGACCAAAGTTGCAAGTTTCAGAAGAACCAGTGTAGAGAAGAGACTTGGTGTATTTCTTGGTGAGTATGCTTGCCCGAAGTCGTAGATGTGGGTAATGTTTGTTTATTATGTGTTCAACTGCCTCATGATAAATTCTTTAATATCTATCCCTTCATTTGCTAGCTCACATGCATATCAGTGCACACTCCTTTTTGTTTAGGTTCTTGTCCCAATGCAAAATTGTAAATTTTCTGAGAGGTTACTGATTTGTGGGAAATGGCCTGACAACATAATCATGTAGGAAGCCGAAATGATTATGCACTCTATTTTCCAAGCAAGAAAAGAAAATAAGGAGATGGGAAAACATTAGTCCTATAGAATAGACGACAGAGCTGAATAGACTGAATAATTTTGCTAAGATAGACAATAATGCTCTACATATATATTTCGACATGCATGAGAGAACTTTCCGTATTGGCTAGCGTCCTCCAAGCACCGGAGAACGAATCAAATAGTTTTTCGTGTAAATCATACTACCCACTAGTACATTTGACTTGCATGGATTGGTCGATGATCTTATACTCAAACTCAGTTAAGACATTGTGGATGTACTACCTTTGTTTCTGTTGCAGGTTCAAAAAATTTAATATATTGGTTATGTTTATCATATTGTGGCTTCCTATTCTTACCTTCAGTTTAGAGAATATTACTGCCAAAGATGTTAAGTTCTCATACTAAAGAACAGTGTACCGACTCTATAGGTCATGTATTTTCCAGAACTTGGTTTGTTATCTAGATGTAGTTGTTAGGAGTGGTTAAGTTAGTGAGTGCTCGCAGGTTTGGAACTCCAAAATGTATCAGAGGTAACATAAAAGAGGTTGTTGGTAGCTGGCCTGGGATCATGAATTGTCCGCGAGTTCTTAACATGTATAAGGATTCATGTGCCCTGCTATTTCTTTTTTCTCTTCAGTGGATGTGTGTTGTGATGGCGAGTGTGTTAATATAAATATTGTCTGGATTATTAATATGGAAGAGAATGTCTGTCAATAGGCGGGTAGTGGTATTTCTCTCAGCCGCGAACTTGTATAAAGATTCTTTCTCTGGGGTCTCCTTCCACCTTTCGTTAGCTACGCTTTAAACAATTTCCAGCAATGTTTTTTCTTTAGTTTGACTACGCCATCCACCTCTAATTATAGACAGCAAAGGCCCCTAGTCAAAGTATAATAACATGGGGGTGCAAGGGTGAAAATGCACTCAGAAAAGGAGCAACTCCCTTGCCTAAGCAAAGCTACTACTAGCAGCCCCTTTACTAGTAAGGGAAAGCATAGCGCATAAGAACCTCGGATAGTGCAAATCCACTCTCCTAGCACCGCCGGAAGAATTATAATAAATGTAGAGGGAGAAAGCATGCAGCTTTATAAATACTTTTTGTTTGCTTCGCCTCGAAGTAAATTTGTTTGTTATTCATAAGTTCATTAGTTTGCACAATCTCGTTCATTATTTTCGTATAACATGAGGAGTCGGGGTATTCAAAACGGTTTGCTTTCTGTCTGTCATGTTACGAAGTGTCCTGTTTCATTATTGCTGTTGCATTAATCTGGTGGTTCCATTGTTTTTAGTAACACTTTATAGTGTACGTAGATGGCTAGTAGGAAACGAAGCATCTCAAATGATGTAGATATGCATGTCCTTTACAAGGAATTGGATGAAGCTTCATGCCCTGTATGCATGGATCATCCACACAATGCTGTTCTTCTCATTTGTAGCTCTCATGATAAGGGATGCCGGTCATACATTTGTGATACAAGTTATCGACATTCAAATTGCCTGGATCGTTTCAAAAAACTCAGAGCCGAAAATAGGGACAGTCCTCCTATTATGACACAGGGAAACCTGGACATTGCTGTTGAGAACCCCGATGAGCAGTTGAGAAATTTAAGCGATCGTTCTGTTGTTCATGGAAATAGTAACAGAGATAATCACATGGAGATGCATGAAGGTACTGTACAAACTTCAGGTGCTGCTACTGTATGGGGAAGTAGTCAAGAAACAGCGAGTGCTGACGGCTCATCTGACTCAAAATTGAAATTGAAGTGTCCTATGTGCCGTGGAGATGTATTAGGCTGGAAAGTAGTGGAAGAAGCCAGAAAGTATCTGAATTTGAAGAATAGAAGTTGCTCTCGTGAATCATGCTCATTCGTTGGTAACTACAGAGAATTGCGCCGGCATGCTAGGAGAGTTCACCCGACAGCACGCCCTGCTGATATTGACCCTTCCAGACAGCGAGCTTGGAGACGGCTTGAAAGCCAAAGAGAGTATGATGACATTGTCAGTGCTGTTCGCTCTGCCATGCCTGGTGCCGTCGTGCTTGGAGATTATGTGATTGAGAGTGGAGACAGGCTATCCGGTGAAAGAGAACGAGGCGCGGGTGGAAACAGCAGGTGGTTGAGTACCTTCTTCTTGTTTCAGATGATTGGTTCAATGGACCCAATATCTGAAGCAAGAGGTGGCAGGTCAAGAGCTTTGTCAAGGCACCGTCGGTCCACTGGACCTTTATCTAGGCGCCGCTATCTTTGGGGTGAAAACCTGCTAGGTCTACAAGACGATGACGAGGATGAAGATGAGCGTGATCTTAACATATTGAGTGACATGAGTGGTGACATACCTACAAATCCAAGAAGGCGTAGGCGGTTGATGCGGTCGAGGTCAGATGAAGATCAGCAATAGGACCTTACAACCTCTGCTCATGGATTGAACTAATGAATCGTACAGGAAGTACCATTTGCTGTTCGACACTGGATCAATTAGAATTTTCTTGTGGTCCACTTTGCTACAGCAAGACAGTGTGCAATTTAGAGACTTGTTATGGATGAGCTTCAGAGACTGGAGAAGAAATTNGTATAATAATTTGAAGGTGAAAACAGGTTGCTGCAGCCGGTTTCGTTGTGATTGTGGGTTCGTAGCATCAGAAATGTAAATTTCCATCTGATCTTTGAATTCCCCAACTCTGAAACATTGTTTAACTTATATTCCATCCTATTGTATTCTTATCACTTTCCTATCCATAAAATCAGTCGGTTCCTTTATGTTTTAATTATCTTTTGCCTTGAAAGAGAAGATAAATCACAGTGCTTAGTGAAGTTGCAAGTGCGTGTTTTACCGTGTTCATAAACTTAGCAACTCTTTTTGTTTAACCTTTAGCTTTATTATTATTGGATTGGATATTCAGTAATAATGGTTCGTATATGTGCAAGCAAAACCACCATGGTGATTTAACATGACAACATGGTATCAATGAGTAATCCTTGCAGTTTCAAATTGGTTTGACCAAACCGATTAAATATTTGATGTTTAAGAGAAATAAATCATTTATTACGTTTTCTTTTTCAACTACTCTAACGGTTCCAATTGATATAGTATTAATTAAGTGATACATTTAAATAATTATTTTTATGATTAAGGTAGAACATGAGGAAGTATTAAAGATGGAGTAGTGTCATGAGTAGGGTGTCAATCATTCGGTTCGGTCGGTTATTTTACAAAATTTGTACCATATCAAATTTTCGGTTATTTTATTTCATATAATCAAAATTAGACTTTTCGAAACCGTCCCAATCATGTCGGTTTCTCTTCGGTATCGGTGCGGTTCGGTTAATTTTTCGATATTTTTTTAAAATGTCATGCAAGAGTCGCTAGTTAAAGTTAGAATGCAATAATGTGTACTTGCATAGGATTTGGTAAAACTCTCTAGCTAGATATTTTTATTATTTTAAAAGTGATGATCAAAGGAACATGAAAGATAACCAGAATAGAGATGCATCCCACTGTTCTATGGTAGTGTAAAACAAATTAAGCAAAGACGTGAGAAATATAAATCATACGAGTGGATATATAAATTTATACTCAAGAATAGAGCTTAATCAAAGATTAATATCCAATAAAAGAAACTTATATTATACAAGAAGAAAGATATATCCAATACATCGTGGCTTGCTACCGAAGATCGTTGGAATACCTAGTCGCTTGCTACTCAAGATGTTTGAACTAATTTAGTTTAGATATGAGTAAAAGAATAGGTTTGAAAGTTGGGACCTTGAATATTAATTATTAGTCACTTTGTAACCATTTCCATAATCCCAAAACCCAAAAAAAAAAAAAACCTTTTTGTTAGTTTAAAACTTAGTATATAAAATATATTTTTCATATATAAATTTATTCGATACGGTTCGATTTTTTTCGATTTATTTTAATAAAATTAAAAACCTACCCTATTATTCGGTACGATTAAAAGTTTATATAAAAACCTACGGTTTTATTAAAATAAACCTCATAATCGGTTCGGTACCGTTTGGCTCGATCGGTTTAGTCAGTTTTTAAAGATCGATTGACATCCCTAGTTCCATGAATCATTTGAGCATTGTTTTTTTTTTTGTTTCTTCCTTCTCTTAAACTAAGTTAATTGTTCTTAATAGGTCTAAATTATTCAAACCTTTTATTACATCTTTAAATATATTCTTTTTTTTAATTTGTGCATGATATGGTGCGCATTGACTATGCTAATTTTCTCCATATCATTCCAATTTTATCTGATGTCCCTAAGGGACCTTGAGACCACTAAGATGTTCACTTTTAAAAACTTATGTGGTGATGATATTTCTAGTCTATATATTACAACCACATAACTATCGCCAATATTCTTTAATGCACTAGCACCATCACCAATTTATGTTATATGAAGGGTGTCACGTTCTACTATATGGTATATGAATTATATGCCAAAAACGTGTAAATAATTAAAGAGTGACACCATTTGATAATAGATACTTCTCGGTTTACTGGCGAAGCACCTTACGAAGCTTCTGAGGTCTAGTGTTTGAGTCCTTGCTGGTTCTATATTTTGGCAAATTTTGGAGCCTTTTTTGTTTGGGAGTGGAGGTTGTACAGAATTGAACTCCTTACTTCCTCCAAACAAAAATTCTTTTAACCAAAGAGCCAAAGTTCATTGCAATTGATTAAGTAGACAATAAATTATATTATATTATATTAATTAGTTTATTTTTTCTCTTTATTAAATGTGACAGCGCTTGTAAAAGTTCTGCGTACGGCAGTGGCCACGAGCATACAACCACCACAGCCAACCACAAACATCACTTCAACCACCAACAACCGTACCAACCATCGCCACTAACCTCAATCGTGTTGGGTATGTGAACAAAGTCCCACATGGAAAGTAGAAAGGAAAAAGAAGCTACTTATAAAGAGTTGAATACTCTTTATGGTGTGAGGCTTTTTGGAAGAAAAAAAAAACATCCAGGCTTGGTTCAAATCGGATAATATCACAGCATGTTAAGAGTATTTTTGAGCCGTTTTAGCCCAACAACTGGTATCAAAGCCAATAATCTGTGAGACGAGTATAGAGATGACAGAGCATGGTGTGAGGGCTCAGCTTAGTACCTTTGACTGTTTGTAAGGGTGGCAAAATAAACAAGCCCATTTGACCCGCCCAAGCTTTAATGGTTTTGGGCTAGAATGATTTTGCAAATGGGATATTTTGGGCTAGAGTTCTATCTTGACTCATGTTCTGGAAATATTTTTTAATTCCCATGTTTGGTTGATATCCTCAGAAACAAATTACTCATTTTATTTAAATGAAAGAAAATACTTTTTCTACAACAGGAAAAGAAAGTACTCATTTTGTGAAAAAAAAATACTTTTTTAACATCATGAAAAGAAATTACTCTTTTTGTTGAAACAAAAAAAAATATTTTTTCTACAACATGAAAAGAAAGTACTCATTTTATGAAAAAAAATATTTTTTCTATATCATGAAAAGAAAGTACTCCTTAGTATAAGACAAAAAGAAGGCTGCACATTAGCCTTAACATTTGGATCCACATACATGCCTAGGATAATGAAAACGGGGAAGATTATACTATAAAATGCAAACTCCTTTGCATCTACCACTCCCTAAGGATCACACAAGGTAATACCAACAGAGCACATCAAGTCACAATGAGCAGTTACATGCGCAACTACTTTCTACTATCCAGATCAGATATGACTACCCATGAGACTTCTCAGCTTTATGCGGATCATTTTAGTAATATTTGGAGGAGCTACCAACTAGAATGGACATCTACCACGCATGAGGAAGCTACCAACAGAAGGATCACAATAAGAAGGAGCAGGCATGAACGCGTAACAAGGAGCCAAAGTTGCAACAACACCATTATTGTCTTGACCTGGACTTGCATTTTGGAAGGTTTTACGTGCAACCGGCTTATAAAACAATCCTTGTCAAGCTTATATTTCTTTCAAAGAGATCAGGTGGAGCTGCCTAATCCTTAAGATAACAAAAGCAAATGCCCACAATCGAAAGCAATGAGAGACAACTATTCAAAAATGTTTTGCGAGTCATGTGCAAATAGGTCTTTTCAATGATCATGGTTCTTAGCTCTTTTTGTACTATCAAATGAGTGTTTTATACACCGACTTTGGTATTAGGTTTCATGTACTTTCATTTTTTACGCACTTTCATTTTGTGAAACCTCCAGACTCATTGTTATTTTATTTTGATTATTAATAAAAACACCACTAGGCAAACAACTTAGTGGTATATTTGCTAAAAATAAAGTACTCTTTTTGTTAAAACAAAAGAAAATACTTTTTCTACATAATAAAAAGAAAGTATTCTTTTTGTTGAAACAAACGAAAATACTTTTTCTCCAATATGAAAAGAAAGTACCCATTTTATGAAAAAAAAAATACTTTTTCTATATCATAAAAAGAAAGTACTTATTTTATTGAAATAAAAAAAAATACTTTTTCTATATCATAAAAAAAAATTATTTTGTTGAAATGAAAAAAAAAATTCTATCGACAACATAAAAAGAAAATACTTTTTCTACATCATGAAAAGAAAGTACTCTTTTTGTTGAAACAAAAGAAAATAATTTTTCTACAACATGAAAAGAAAGTACTCATTTTATGAAAAAGAAAATATATTTTCTACATCATAAAAAAAAATACTTATTTTATTGAAATGAAAGAATTTTCTACATCATAAAAATAAAATATTCATTTTGTTGAAATGAAAAAGAAAATAGTATATCTACAACATTAAAAGAAAGTATTCTAAATAATATTTCAATTTTGGGTGGGGGTGGGTACGAATGTCTAATTTTACTGCTTTTTATTATTATGATCTTTGTTAGTATTAAAAGATGAAGAACTATTAAATAAAATTCTAAATCAAAATTGAGGAAAGAAATCATTTGGCACGAATTGACATTTATTCCAAAACATAAGTTAATTTTTATATATGCTTGTTTTAAAGGTTGAGAATATTATAAATATTTGGGTCAATTTGAGAGAGTTGGGTTACAACCCAGTTTAGCCCATCTTAACTCAGCCCATCTTAACCCAAGTGAACTTTGGGCAGGGTTGGACAATGACCCATTTAATAAGGCAGCCCATCTTGACTAGCCCAAACAACCCATTTTCTACCCTTAACTGTTTGCGACCTTTACCCGTAGCTTTGGAGATGCATACACAACCTTTGGGCTTTGGTGATCGTAATTACTCAGATCATGTGGGTGGCACACACTTAATTCCTTCTTCAAACCCCGATTCATATTTTTCACAGAGAAATATAGCAATATCAGTCTATCATTATCAAACTGACTGTAATCTTTTTCTGTCCGTGAAGATCCCACTAGAACGCCTTTTAGTAGGGGTGTACATAAGTCGGGTTGGTTCGGATTTTCTAATTACTAAACCAAACCAATTGTATCGGGTTATTAAATCTAAATAACAAACCAAACCAATAAAAGTCGAATTTTTTAATCTCGATTTTCTCGGATTTTTCGGGTTCTCATTTTTTTTCCCTATA